ATTGTGTTTCATGAAAAATAATTAATGTTGGTCCCATAGTTGACATAGGTCCATCAACTTTACAATTTTTCATAACATTTTCTAATTCTTTTCGAAAATATTTTAAAAATGCATTTGAAGCATCAGATAAAAATTGAAACATATCATTTGGTAATTTTGGTGCTCGTGTTCGAAATATAATAATATCACTTATACATAATATTTTAAGTAAAAGTCTATTACGAATATTATCATTTTGTGATAAACCAAGTCGACCTTCAGTATCAAGTATAAGTGTTCGTTGATTTTCATCTAATCCTGACCATACACCCATTGTACATGATTCAGTTGTTGATGATGTATGAAATTTTTCTTTTCCATTAAAAAATACTTGATTTAATGTATACGATTTTCCATCACCTGTATTACCAATAATAGAAATACATTTAACATTTGGATCTTGTGATGAACATTGTAATTGACGAATAAAATCAAATTCATTATTAACCTTAATTTAATTGAATTTAGATAAAGTATTTAACAAAAAATAAACTTACAGTTAAATGTTCATGAGCATCTAATAATAGAAAAACTCCATTTGAATCTGTATTTGTTGTAGATTTATGTGAAACACGATTATTATTATTATTATTATTATTATTAGTTCGAATACCATGATGATTATTTCTTTGATCATCAATATCATTATCTAACATTGATTCAAGTAACATTTGTTGATCAAGATTATGTTGTTTTGGTATAGGATTAGAATTGGAAATTTTTGGTTTTATTCCATGTTCTTTTCGTATAGGTGGAGAATAATAATTATTTTCATCACTATCATCAACTTTAACATCTTCAAATGAAGATGGTGATGGTATTGGATTCTTTGTTCGTTCTTTTGAATTATGAGAAGAATTTATTTGTATTGGTTTTGTTACATTTCGATGTTGATCACTATATGAAGAAGAAGAACAATTTATTTAACGATATGTTTATTTCTTTCGAAGAAATTTCCGTGGGATTTTTTTTTAGTTTTAAGAAGATTATTTTTTTATTTGCATTGTCATTGAATAAACATTTTGACGCAATTTAAGGAAACAGATGGTAGTAACTTGCGTCATCTGTTGTGAAGTATTTAAAAATTGCACTTAAATATATTATGAATATTTCTTTTTTCTAGATTTGAAGAAAAAAGAAAACTTATTCACCGTTGTTTACAGAACATGATTTTCAATCAGGAAATTTGAAACTTCTTCCATCTAGTTTACGATATAAACACTATTTTTTTTTTGTTTTAAAGGTGTAAATAAGAGTAAATTTTTGTCGCACCAGATTCTCTATAGTTGACTTCTCGTATTGAAAAAAGCGAAATTTAGTGTCGTGAAATTACATTTTGTTTTTGCTTATTTTCACTCCGTCTGTACTAAAATGATCATAAAAAATAAATGAAAACGAATTTCAAACTTCTATTCAAACAATAATTCAACACCGATATTCACTTTAATTTGAAATCATTCCGAGTTTTTGTATCTTTTATTGGAACACAGTTATAAAGATTCTCAAAGAAACCATAAATAAGTCGGAAGTTCGTTTTAGTTTGACGTAGTAGACTGAAATTTTTATCTGAAGCATTTCTGACTAGAATCAATCATTTTCGAATTTCGATTTTACATTTTGTATGGAGACAAGCTTTAACGAGAATAGTTTCAGGTGTCTTGATTTATTTTCTTCTATCTTGAAATAAGAATATAAAATCTACTTTTAGAAAATAACATTCATTTAAAAAAAAAATATCATCAAAGTTCAGTATCTCCTTGACCATAAGCTAAGAGTAGGTATTCATAGCTTATTTGAATCTACATAATGCACATAGTCTTAATTTCAACCGTTGGAGAACTTCCTTCATAAGAGTTCTTTTCGATAGAATATTAGAAAAAAAAAAACTTACGTATTAGTTTTTACTGTTGAAATGTGTCCGTCTTTAGATTTTTGTGGCCTATGATTTTTTCCATCTGAATATTGATGTTTATTTTCATAACATGAATAACAAAAGAATAATGTACAATTAGGACAATAAAAAATAGCTGGATGATTTCGATCAATAGAACAATATTCATCATTAATTGCATCTAAATTTAATCGTTCATGTTTTTCATGATCAGAATTTTCATGAATTTGTTTTTCACATAAAATACATTGTAATGAATTACATTGTATACAATAATATATTGCTTTTGATGACATTTCTGTGTCACATGCTAAACGCTCAGTACATGTTAGATATGATGTTGTTTCAAGAGAACCTTTTGATGATGAAATATTATTCATTTGTGACGAAGAAGAATTGTCATTACTTTTATATTGGTAATTCCATAAACATATTTTTTCAGCTGCTTGCATATCGAACGTTGGGAAGTTTCATTAAATAATATGATACACGAATTGCTAATGTTAACCGTAAGTAATGTGACTCATCTTTTTATCCAATAGAAATTTTATGTAATAGTGATAATAATCATACATTGATTCATAGATAAATATATCAATAGGTAAACAATATTTTTGGAGTATCTTTAATTGACTTGTATGATTTGATTTTTCTCACTAGATGTCATTAAGTGCAAAAATGATGTCGCTAATTTTCATACCTTTCGTTCAAATAGTCATAAATTTTTATAACATCAAATGCATACAATTCCACTAGCTTAAAAATGTACGAGATATTTTTTTTTTATTGCTGTTACTTAGTACGAGGCCAGGAGAATTAATTTTACCTTTGTGTTGTTGGGGAAATCGATTTCTTCACGACTACTCACAGGTAAATACAACATTACACGTGACTCAATATTACGATTGTATGTCTCCATTTTATTAACGAAGAAATGTGATGATTTACGGCGAAAGAAAAAGAACACTTGTTGACCCTCTTCGCACATTGAGGAGGTTAACTATGTCCTTTTTGCTTGGCATACAGTCAGTCAGATATACGATTATAATATTGAGCCATGTAATACAATTATTTATGGGCTCCATGAGATTAATGCAAAAAAAAACTACTGCATCGAACTGCTTAAATTTCATCAAAACAAATTTCAACGGAAAATATCTTTATATATTTGACGTTAAGATTTTTTTAAGATCAAGTGTTAGTGCTTCTGTTCCCATAATATTATAAATTTTCATATATGCTTAAAAAAAATTGGATTTCTGAATTATTCATATATATCAGACAAAAAAAAAACCAAGTCTGTATTAATGTTATTGATTATTTGTATTCACTGTTCGATTTTATCCATTGCTTCATCACATGACTTACACACACGTTCAGGTGTAAACCATTCTCGTTCGGGTACAGGACGTTTATTTGGTGAACAGGTATCACAAATACCTTCACCACATTTTCGACTAGAAAATTAGTAAAATTATTTCTTGAAAATTAAAATTAATTCAATTACATACCAATGATGTAGACGATGTGTGGTATTATTAAATCGATGCTTACAGATAAAACAAGAATGACATTCACTATCTGGTCGCCAATAATTTGGTCGTGTACTTTCTTTGATATGTTCTATATGCACATATATATATATATAACATTGTTTAAATTTTTGTTTTCAAAACATTAAAGTTTTCATATTCATACTCACTAATCGGATAGTCATACATCACACGTCCAACATTATTTGTAACAAGTTCTACGAAACGTCTTGACATAGGAATATGATATAAATTTGGATCTATAAGATGAAAATAACAAATAGAGTTAGATATACATATATTGATAAAATGCCTATTAATTGAGATATTACCTGCTGAACTATCACTACCACCAGTTTCATATTCAGACGAATTTGTTTTTTGAGTATGTACATAATTATTTTGAAATACTGATGAAAGTGTTGATGGTTGAAGTTTATCATAACATTTATCACAAACACGTTCAGGTGTTTTGATATCAAGCAATGGAACAGTAGCACGATGTGTTGTACACGTATCACAGAAAATATAGCCACATGCTATGAAAAAATCAGTGCTAGAGACCTTTGTTCAGAGGAGTTATCAATAAAAAAACTAGCCGTAGCGATGCGACACAAAAAATCCGACATCGATTTTCTTTTTTTGTTGTTGGGAGTTCAAAGAACATGAAATTGTTTGAAGATTCAGCTTTACTTTTTCTATTCTTCATCTTCATGAAATAATTTTAAAAAGTCAGCTAAAAAACTTTATACTGCACATCGATTGATGACAACTTACAGTCATATTTCATTCCATTACTCTTAAGAAAATCTGTTGGTGACTACGAACAAAATCCGATTCTGCGCAAAAAAACAGATGATTTTTCATAACTAAGTTTTTTCTCAAATACTTTATAATAAACAAATCAACAATTTTAAGTAATTGTCTATTGAAAAATTTCACATTCTTTTTTTCACTAAATCGTCTCTCAACTCAAGAGATTGTACTGATATGTCATAGAACAAAAAGTAATAAATTTTCTTGCAAACAAACCTCGGCAATGATGTTTCGAATGCTCTGATCCAAAAACAAGTTTACACGACGAACATTCCTTTAAAACAAATAAAATAAATTAATCTTCTTATATATCATAAAAAAATCTTCTTACATGAACATCTTTATTTGGAACCCAATACGATGGTGCTACTTGATCTGTTACCATCTCTGTCAACATTTTTGTTGGAGCTGATAGATAACTATAATAATATAATGAATCAAACCATTGTTTACTTTTTACTTATTGAACAAACCTTCCAGCATTACGAAAAACTTCAATGACTTTTCTTGGTGTAACATCATTAGCGGCTCGACTATTGTCTTCACCTGCCCAAATATGAACAACTTCAACACGTATGACGTCTTTTGGTTCATTATTTCCATACCAATATTTTCTTGATCGATAGAT